ATTTGGTTACTGAAGGGTCCAGTTTTGAGAATTCATTCAAATCAACACATATTTCTGAAACTATCTAAGAGATGTTGCAATATTAATAGAGTGATGGAAATTAAATGGATATGTGACAAATGCAATCTTCTTGCAAAATCCTTGGCAGTATCATACAGAATTTAAATGAATTCATAATTATATGCTAACCATATACTCATTAAACACTCACATTTCTCAAGAATGAAAAAAAAACCCTATTCTTTAAAAATACAGTCTCTTAGCTGATTTAGATCCATTTTGATCCCATTGGTGTAAATCAGTGAGGCTTCATCCTCATGTTTGTATTGTCAAAATTTACAGAGTCTGAAACATTGATGAGGATCAGGGAAAGAAAAAGCTGATCTAACAAATGGTCTCATTTGTTTTGTTTTTTATCCCTACTCTAAAAATCTTGAATTGCTACTCATCCGTGTTCTGCATATTTCTTGCACTTGATTATGTGTTAACGTTGATTTTTGTTTATGTTAGATATTTTGTGTCCAGAGGTCAAATGAGCATAGCTTTTTAATCAGATTCCTACTGGCTGCTTTTGTAAGACTAATCTTTGCACACTTGGAGGAAAAGAAAGTAGGAGACAGTCCAAGCTAACCCAAATAAATGGACGGAAGTAAAGCAACAATTGCTTTTCTATACGGACCTGCCCTTGCTCATTTCTTCTTTAGAGATAACAGTCTTTGACACAATGTCAGATAACTATGTTCAAAGTTTCACAGGCTAACCATTTAAAGATGCATTTCCACTCCATTTATTTTCCTTTATCTGAAACCTCTGTTGGTTCACTTCAACTAGGGACATTTTCATTTAGATTCCCCAAAAGAGAGACATATGGGGGAAAAAATGGCCCACCTTGAAACACCTCTGGGGATTACAAAGGCTGGCATATGACATGAGAATGCTGTGTTCTGATGAGAACAGTTGTTTGCATAATAATTTTAACTATTACTAAAACTTGAATGACGTTTCAAGGAAAAGAAGACAGATAAAGCCTCAGGTTAAATTAAATCATTACCAGGAACTTTACACCGCTGAAGAATTCCAAAATGCAAAGGGATGTCATTTTTTTTCTTAATAAAATTTTTTTTTAAATGGAGAAGGTAGTCAATGGACAAGGCAGGCAATTACAAATACGATTTAGTTTTTAACCCCTTGAGGTATAAGTAAGCTCTTTCTGCAGATAAAAGGCCTAAATGTTCCAGCATGATATTTCAACACTATATTCTGGAGTACAAGGCAATGACAACCATTGCAAAATGATATAATCAAATACGTAAATTGATGAGGTATCCTGGGGAGCACACATTCTTTTTTTGCTACTGTAGCAAGTCACCACAACATCTCAATGCTTGATAAACTTGTAGCCAATTAGATTTCTTTCCTACTAATTTATATTGCTGTGCATTTTCTTACAGGATTCATCATATGTTCCCTCCATTGATAAAGAGCCTCTCAGTGCTAATTCTGAAATAAATCACTATTCTAGCATCTTCCTTGATCTTTATGCCACAAGGTTTACAGGAAGTTGGACTAAGAAGCCTGTTATTTCAAATATATTTCAAAATAATGGGTTTGCTGTTAAGATGCGCAGAACGCTATTTCGGGATAATGGATGATATATTGTCACTGTGTAGCCATACCTACAGTGTTTACACATATAGGGTGTGTCTAGAGTACATGGCTCCATTGACGGAGCCATGTAAACTAGTTTACCCGACACAGTCAATGAAGTGGGGATTTAAATAATCCCTGCTTCATTAAAATAAAAATGGCTGCCGTGCTGTGCTGACAAACAGCTGATCCAGCACAGCACAGCAGTCTAGATGCGGATCAGTTGACAAGGGAAGTCTTTGCTGACCACTCCCTTATGCCTCGTAAAATGAGGTTTACAGGAGTGGTCAACAAAGGCTTCCCTTGTCGACCGATCCATGTCTAGACTGCCGCGTTGTGCCGGATCAGCTGATTGTCGGCACAGCGTGATGGCCATTTTTATTTTAATGAAGCTAGGATTATTTAAATCCCCGTTTCATTGACTATTGTTGGGTAAACTAGTTTACGTGGCTCCATCGACGGAGCCACATAGTCTAGACACACCCTTATAGTTTTTGTAAGGCACAGTACAGCAACTAAGCTTAGTTAAAGGTGAAAGTAACTTGGGCCTCACTGAACACTTAAGTTGGATGGAATTTATTAACACCTCTATAGCAACCTTTTAAGATGATAATTTATCCTTTTAACTGTCCTCTGTAAAACCTGCAGAAAAGAGCGGGCTGAGGGTATACTGCATTACATACAGCTACAAGGTTTATCAAATCCTATAGATTCTGTCACAAGGCAAACTAAAATGGAGTAAAAGGTAACTTATCTTGAAGAGTTGTTTGAGTGAGTTACCATAGGAAGGGTAAGTTCATAGATAAAGAGGAAGAAACCATTGTCAGTGGAAAACAGAAATTAGGTGTTAAAGGACCCTGATAATTTTGTTTAGAGGGCTATTCAGTATGAACTAACTTGAAGCTTAACATATGGGTTAGATCTTTGGAGAGTTTCCCAAAGGCCTAGCAGATAAATTCAGAAGCTTACATAAAATGCAGGGCCTGATTTTCCTTTCATTTATTTCAGTGTCTTAATGAATTCAAGGTGAAAGCCTGTTGAACAAATCAGGATCAAAGCAATCATTCTACTCTATGAAAACTAAGAAACACTTCTACACCATTAAAACATTGGCCATTTGGTTGAAGGAGAAAAGGAAGCTGAAAATAACTTTGTTACATTTTTAATCACTTACAAAATGCTCTTGCTCTGAAAGGTCTTTTTGTCCTCTTTTCAAATCTCCAGTAGTGACTCATCACATTTATCACCGATTATCAAATTCCATAGGGATTTCCTTTTAATTCTCAACTTTATAATGGTCAGAAATGCCATAAAAAAATCCCTAAGCTCATTAGTGAAATTCACTTTTCCTAGCTAAAATCCCCTGCCCCATTTTATTTTTTTGTAATACTGAAAAATGTTCTCTATATCACTCTTGCTCTTGGTATAGGCAACCAAAATGTATTTGCATTGGACACTTTCCTTCTTCTCTAAATCAAAATTGTATTGTATGTACAGCAAACAGAATGGAGAAATTTCTCACTCTGTTTATATCTGAAAATGATTCTGAAATTTGTAATTTGTGAAGGCACTATTCAAAACACAGACTGGTTCTTCAAAAATAACTTTAATTTACTTTAAAAACCCTTGCACTTAAAATAGTTAACAACAATTCTAATTACTGGATAAGAAAGAAAGGTCAGACTCCTCTTACATCATTGTGAAAGGCTTTTATTACACACTGCTATAAAACATATTTCTTTTGTCAGTTGCCATCCTAGCTGACTAGCCTGCATACCAATAGGATCACTAAAATGCCAAGCAGCAGAAGATAGTTATCAACTAAATTCTACGTACAGTAACCTAACAAATGCCAGAGGAAGAAAGATTGCCCTCTGCACAGTAATACTTGTGTAGATGTCTTCTTTATGCTAACAATGACAAGACTCCCTTCGTTTGTACTGTACTCCAAAATCAGAATGCATTTTTTTCAAAAGCAGACTGCATATCAAAGAGGAAAGATAGACATTCTAGGCACTGGGATACTTAATGTGGATAGCAAATACATTTTTCTCACATCTGCTAACTAAATATCTAATCCTCAATGTTAAGAATGAAGATTTATGCCATCAGTATTATTTAAGATACTAGTGAAGGTTTTTGTTGGTTTTAAACTTTTTTCTTTCCTTTCTTTCTGTTCATTCTCTGTCCAGTCTGCTTTACTAAATTTCCCTCTTACCTATCATCTGTTTTAGAGCTTTAAAATTACTGTTTTTAAGCATCTCCTAAATATATATTTATAATATTTCTATGTATAATATATATAAAACTAATTATTACAATTTACAAATTGCAGCAGTTTTTGGTTACAAAAGCACTTTTATTACAGGACAAGTTTAAAGAGGAAGATTGCTAATGCTGTAATTTCTGCACTGTGCTGCTCTTCAGAATAATTATTTTATTGTATTTCAATATATCTAAATTGTCCTGTCAAAAGCACATTTCAGATGTAACTCGAAACCCTGCCAGCAAGTCCGAAGAAATGTTCATGAAGTGATGCCAGACTTACTGTCTGCCTTCATACAATCAGCATGCTCTCAAACGTGCTAGTTTCATATTTCTTGTTATACACACTTTGAATCAGAACTTTACAGAGTAAATAGCACTTGAATTTCTTCCCCCCTTTTTTACATTCTATAGTAATTATGCCCAAATAGTTAATTTAAAAAAACCCATGCATTTTATGTTCAATATTTCTTAAAAAAATAGTTATTAACACACTTATAAGTATAATAGTTACATTTAATTGCTTCCACTACCACTGGCAATTCTATTAATAATATGTTTATCTTGTGGCCCAAATTTACTTGATAGGCCTATTTGCCACAGGCCTATAGTTTCCTTGTATACAACAGTGCAAAGTAAAAGGTGACCCTTTTATTTATGTTTAAAACATTTCAACAGTTAGTTCTGCTCCAAAGATAACACCTTAACAAAGTCCAAGGCCAGAAACCCCTGACAATATTGACTTTTCTCTTGATGACTACAGGACTGCATTAACTTAAACAGACACCAGAAAACATTTTTTAAAAGGAAAAAAAGAAAAGCTTAATGTAAGATTTCATTTGTAGACTAGAGAGTTTCTGTGATAAAATCTTACCTGTCACTGTAAAAAAGATAAATAGCTGGCTAAATAAGCATTAGAATAACAGTCACTTAAACAACTGCACCTATACAGATAAGTAACAAAAGCATCAGACACCTGGCATCATATTAGGACCTACTGATGACAACAACATGCATCATTTTAGTGGCACCTTATAATGAGCACACAGTGACAGGATTACATGTCTTTAGAAGAATCAGGCTCCTACCTTTACAAGACAGATGGAAGGTAAGTCCCCCTTTAAAGAAAGTTGTCAGTAAAACCAGGCTGCAGTTGTAGTAAATTGAGTCCTTTCAGTCACTGTATACATGCAGCAGTTCTGCAATGAGGGAAAAAATATTATGGGAGGAGCAGCTGTGAACGAATGACCTCCTGAAGCTGAGTTCTCTTTGTGAATCGAGCATTAGGTGCCAGTGCCTCTGATTTGCATGGATTATCTCCACTTGAACAGATACATTTAAATTTATCTGGCACAGTGGCAAAAAATGGGAGAGTAAGTGAACGAAAGCGAGAATAAGAGAGAAAAGGAAAGAGAAAAAGAAGACAAGAAATCGGGAAGCTTGGCTGGATATGCTGGTTCAGGCAGAACTGTGTCTCAGAAGAGCTACAGCTCCCTCTTCATGTCACAGTTGTAAGATAAGAAATGCTGTCACTAAGCACTGGTTAATAACAGAATCCCCCCCAACCCCAAACTTCTATATTCCATTTGATCAGATTTTCATAAACATTTAATAATTCTGTCATCATAAAGTCAGGGGGTTTTATATTGGAAGCTTCAAATGAGTTGTAATCAGGCAGGTAACACAATGAGGCAGGTCAAACTCCCTGAGTGATTTTAAACACAGAAACATGTTGAAATGAATAGCTTGTACAAATTAAAACAAATTTTAGCATGTACCTTAAAAATACAGTTACTGAGTATCAGATAACTTTAAAGGAATGAATAGAAAAGGGCATTAAAATGCTGATATATACTTAGCTGTTTTTGATAAAAGTATCATTGCTTTGTGTGTGTAAGCCAATATTTTTGAGATTACTGAAATGTATCAAGACAAAAGAGACCCATTAAAAGCCTCTAACAAGCTACATCCAACCACTTCCCTCTTATTACCTTGAATAACAAAGCATTACCTGTCAAATTTTCCTAATTTGATTTACATGAAATACTTATGCTGATTAGAGAAGTGTGAGGAACCCTCTTGAGCCTTCATCAAAACTAAGATGAACCTGAAATAAAGTTTTTTTTCTGGTTCAAATACATTTAGGTAACTTTTTTACTCATCAGTTACAATTTTTTGAACTTCTAACTATAGGTGTTAGGTACCAGTTGGACCAAAAATCATTAATGAAGTGATAATAGCTATTCTTATGGCTAATCTTTCTGTCTAGAAATAAGGCAATAACAGAAAGCTTTGCGGAAGTTTTTTTTTTATGAGATTTCAAGACTGAAGTTTCAGTCCCAGGATTTTCAGATAATTCACATGAACTTTTGGTGCTTTTGCAAGCAAAAGCCATATTGCAAAACAATTGAGGGTGACACATCAATCACATGAAACTTTAAATTCCTCTGTCTCATGTCTCCCCTTTTTAGCCCTGATTGTGACCCAAGCTAAGCAGATCCTGTTTGCATGTACAGTCTTAAAGTCAACCAGAGTCCATGAAGGCACAGGAGTCTACCCCTTGCTTGGGGCCCTCTGATATCAGTGGGGACCTGCCTGGGGGGTTCACTTCGCAGGATTGAGATATTTGTCTGAAACATGGATTCTTAGATGATGCATATAGCAAAACAATAAATATTGTAAGTACTGAGCTTATTCTAGCCCTGAAAAATTGCTTCTTGGAAGTAATCACATTTACAGTAAAACTCACTGTAGATAAATGATCACACAGATACCGGACAAAGTAGTGGGAGAATATATCTGGATTCTCTAATAACTACTATGTGACACGATTATTAGCAACTGCCTCTGCCCCATACATAACTGCCAGTTCTGAAAAATGCACGTGGCTCTCTCTCAAAAAAAAATTGGAGATTCAGATTATTTCATTTTGGGGTCTAGATCCTTGAGCTATTCCCATTTACACCCTCTCAGGATTTAGCTCTGAATATTTATCAGATATGTCTCCAAACTGCTTAAGATTTCATTAATCCTCCCTCTTCCTCTGCCCCATCCTTCCTTCTATGTTTCTTCCAAACCCATTATTGCTCATATCGCACCTGCTCCTTTGCCTCCAAATTCACTTGCTCCTCCTGCTCACCCTTTCTCGGTGAATTTTTTGGTGACCTCTCAGTAAGTGAACAAGTACCCTTCTCTCTTCACAATCCTCCATGACAATTCCATATGATACACGCCATTCCCTGTGAAGGGTTATCATTAGCTCATTTCTTGTACTATTAGAGGGCCTTTGCCATGAGCCAAAATCTGCTCCCCGAAGTGGTGTAAATTCTGTATAACTTTGATCCCCGTATCTTTAAGAGATTAATTTGAACCAAGGTACTCATATCAAACCAGTGACCACTTCCTAAGTTTCTTTTGGTTTCTTTTACTTTCCATGGTCCCCAATCAATCCTTTTCATTCTTTGAACAATCTCATCAGCTCCAGGAGATCTAACAGTGCCTTTGACCCGCGTTTCTCAAACTGTGGGTCCCAGTCCCTCGGGGATGTCACAAGCAACTTAGAGGTGGGTTGCAGCATAACAAAGTTTGAGATCCCCTGCCTTAGACTGTTCTTTATGTTAAGCCCTAGGCTGTACTGCTTTTGGATATAATTTGCATTCTCCCTGATTCTAGCTTGCAGTGCATTCTGGACTAGGAAATCCTAGAGTGAGGCAGAAATGGACTTAGCAGCAGCTTTGTCACCTACACATGGACCCACCGAAGACCATGGGAATCAGAGCACAGGAAGGATGAAGAGAAATTGTAGGAAGACCTGGGAAATTACTATCTCATTTGGTAGTGCAGGGGTGGGAAGTTGACGAGGTTGGAGCTGAAATAGTCTTTTGGCAACCTATGTACACCTGCTAGGGATCACTGTGTGGGAGAACAGAGTGAAGGCTATGGGGAAAGTTGGAGGAACCAGCGAAGCAATTACTAGAATAGCTGTTAACCTTATAAGAGGTTTGAGTTTCATTCACTTAGAGGAAAGGGACAAAGATGAAAATGATATTTTAATCAAATACATTTGCACATCCTTGCTATGCAGTTGAGCAAACACATTAACAATTCTCAGCTGACTAGATCATAGAAAAATAACAAAAAAGAACAAATAGGTGAGAGTGAAGAAAATGGCAAATGTTCCAGAGTAACTGGCCACAAAATCAACACAAAGTTGCCAAGCATATTAGAGGAAGTGTGTTTAGAGAAGTCACTCTATCAAGCACCCCTTTCAAAGAGTTAACAGGCAAACTGGATTGTATTTTCTCGCTCCTGTGCAAAAGGATAGTTATGCAAATATTTGTTAAAAGTCTTATTCATTTTAATCCTTGACTCCACAACATGCACATCAATAAGTGAATTCATTCAGATAAAATAAAGGCCCCTGAATATTTCCAAAATGTTGATCTGTATCAAGTTTCCAGATGGAATTGAAACAAAAAATATCCAAAATGGCATCTAAAATTATTCTTCCGGTATTTCCTACATAGTCCAGAAATTGATAACCTCCATGAAGGAGATTAGCTCTCAACTCTGGCTGGCTTCTTAAAGACACCCAAATAGTAATGCAGATGCTTGGAGGTGCTTTGAGAATGCCCAATGCTGGAAAGGAATAGCAGATCACATACCTCTCTGTGGAGGGAGAACTAATCCCACACAAAGTGAACCTGGAGTGGTTGAAGTAAAGTTGTGCGAGCACAGTGGAAGAAAGGAGAAAGTTGTAGGAATAGATGGGAAGGAAGGTCCTGATAGCAGTTAGAGGACATGGAAGAAATGTTGCACAGTTTGGAGAGATGCCTTAAACAGGTTGCATAATTTGCATACAAATATGAATTTCTGCGGGTTTTGACCAAATATGAACATTGAACAGTTTGAGAATTGCCCATGACCAATATAACTTCTAGTTATTGGTAAGTCAAACCCGACATACAGAAGCAGCAGAAAATATTTTTAGAGCCTACTTAGCCATGTGAGAAAAAAGAAATGAATAAAACGGAACATACTAAAGGACACTGAAACAGGATCTTTAGTAATAGAATTTTGCTTAGACTTTCCAAGTCACACTTCATTTGTCCAATAGCAAAAAGGCAGATAACTCTTTGCAAAGTAAGAGTGAAAGTTAATCAGAAATATAAGACAGTCTAGTATAATGAAAGATCTGAGAGTCGTAGACTGGCTATACATGTGGAGTGAACTTAATTCAATGAAGTGACATGCATTTCATTGCGAAAAAGAGATAGCAGAATTAAAAACCTACAGTACAGACATAATATGACCAGTCATCAGAGATAGCTATAATCTGCCAGCATATGGCCCAAACTGCAGAACAACTGAGACTGGTGCAAAAGTAAATATATATGAAATGAATTTTTAAAAAGCTGACAAAATTGTAGTGAATTGAATGATAAATTATGACAACTTCTGAAAACAACAGGACAACACATTATCTGCATTTAAAGTGGATTTAAATATTTCTCAGTGCCATCCTGTTAGCCAGCTCCAAAGGCAAGAAAATACATCTTTACCAGATTGAGACTGTAAATAGCCAAGCAGGGCTTCAATCATTCTCATAAGTTAAAGAGCAGGAGTAATACATTTAAGGAAAATTCAGTTATACTCTACTAAAAAGTGAGAGCGTAGTATTAAAAAACGAGCACGGAAAAAGAAAGGGAACAGAAGAAATACCAATGAAGGACACAATAAAAACCCTAAGGTTGAATGAACCAAGGCTAAACATACTGTTATTATATAACTTTATTCATGAAGAAACTTCTTGTAAATTCCTAGTGGCAGCATAAATCTTGAGACTAGAGTAAGGATGCAGTGAGTATCTTGTGAGTATCAGAGTATTTGCAACATGGATTCCACAGGGCACCATTACTTGACAAACACTAACTTGTTTATCAGCAACAAGGTGTGGCAGAGAAGGTTCCATTTTCTGCTACCAAAGGGGAGGCCAGGGTGTAAGAAAGAGAACTAAATCAGTTTCAGTTCTCAGACTAAAGGTTTACAGGCAGTCCTCGGGTTACATGGATCCGACTTACATCGGATCCCTACTTACAAACGGGGTGAGGCAACCCCGCACTAGCTGCTTCCCCCCAGCAGACCAGGGAGATGCAAAGCTAGCGCCCCTCCTCCCCCCAGGAGACTAGGGAGATGTGGAGCGGCTTTTCTCAGCAGACACCTCAGCTTGAGAATAAAGGACTGAGGGAAGTGAGGTGTGGGAGAATAAAACTGAGCTCTGGAGAAATGTTTGGCTAGAGTTTCCCCTACAATATGTACCAGTTCCGACTTACATACAAATTCAACTTAAGAACAAACCTACAGTCCCTATCTTGTACGTAACCCGGGGACTGCCTGTATTCCAATTTACAACACAGAAGATAGTTCAGTTCTCATTTTTCCTCACATGCTCATCTACCCTCAGTGAAAACGCATTACACTCTCCATCACCTAAAGC